AATTGATTCCAAGAATAATCGGAATAAGTATTACTACGTAAAGCTGCGTCAAGCTGATCGATTATATTTGGATAACGATTTTCACACCAAGCTAAAAAACGAGCAGTTACTCGATATGCATTTGTATAATGTTGATTACGATCAAAATCTGGTAACCACCAATTAGCAGCTGGATTATTTCTACCATATTTCCATCGAACATAATCTGCAATACCTTCAATTAACCAACCAGGATCACCACGTGGATAACGTTGGACAACATGCATACATTCATGTGTAAGAACATCTGTATCTTGTGGATTATTTCGAAGCCAAGTTGCACTAATCACAATAGCATCACCTGATGCATAGGCTACTCCATCGTATCCTGGCTCAATTGTAACGCGAACATCACGAGTACATGAATTTCTATTGAATCGATCGCACATTTGTGGCCTAAAATATATATATAGATATAATATTGCATTTAAAAGATTAGAATATAGGTGAATGAGTAGAGTTTACATTGTAGCAAAAAATGTATCAATACATTTTTGTCTAGTGTCTTGATGAAAATTAGGATCATTATTGAACATGGTCATTTTGTAGTTGCCTGAAGTATATGCCACTACGTCAGCGGACGAGAAGTCCACAATAACAGCTATTACAATAAATATTATCGTGCGTATAGCCATTTCAATTTGATGTATACTATATTGTTTCTATTAGTTTCTTCGTTTATATACTTTTCAATAAGCCAAAATAAAACGAAGTATTTTATATATACGTCAATATATTTTTTTTCATTCATCAACGATTTTATTTTCTCGTAAAAATAAAGCAGTGACTTGTGCAGATGGACTGCACCCTGTTCTTTATGTTTAAATGAAAATATAATTTTGATCAATTGCGAACTAATACTTTCTCATGTTACTTCTACAATTATTGTAGGATTCAAATAATTTATAAGCTGTGATTCAATTACAAGGTGATTATTGTGCAAGTCCCATTAATTTGCAAAAATAGAAACCAATTTTCTCATGACGAGCACGTAAGTAAAGTTAGCACCAGATTCGAGTTTTTTCTGTCCGAATTCTCCTCTGTATCTGAGTTGACTCTTGTTCAGGTTGAGTTAGGTGCAGAATTCGATTCTGAATCGAATGGTGATATTTTCAGATCAGGTTGCCCATCAAAAATGGCACTTCATCCCGAAATACTGATTTTTCCGGATTTTTTTGCAAAATATTCGGCGTCCGGATTCGCTATACTATCTGAGGTGAATCTAAAAGTGGTTGAGTTGGATGTAGAATTAAATTCTGCGTCGAATGAAACTATTTTCGACTAGGGTGAGGGCAGGGGACCATAGAAGGGCGAATGCTATAGTGAGGGTGAAAAGTTTTTTGCTCGATGACTCTAGTTGAAAATATTATCATTCGACGCAGAATTTAATTCTGCATCCAACTCAACCGCTTTTAGATTCAACTCAGATAGTATAGCGAATCCGGACGCCGAATATTTTGCAAAAAAATCCGGAAAAATCAGTATTTCGGGATGAAGTGCCATTTTTGATGGGCAACATGATCTGAAAATATCACCATTCGATTCAGAATCGAATTCGGCACCTAACTCAACCTGAATGAGAGTCAACTCAGATACAGAGGAGAATTCAGACAGAAATAACTCGAATCTGGTGCTAACTTTACTTACGTTAAAAAATTCTTTATTCATTTTTGTCTTTAAAAGACAAAGATATAATGGTCTTTTTTGCTTTTGTCACCATCCATTATGTTAACAAAATCATCAAGATTATGTTCAGAAACAGAAAACAATTAAATGAATAGATTTTAAAAATCAAAATAGTCATAATATATGTACTTTTCTAAAAATAAATTCTCATTCATTACATTATTGATCTACAACATAATACGTGCTTGAGAAATCACATTTCTCTTGCTGGAATAGTTATCTTGAACAATCTTTATTATGAGCTTGAAACAGGTATTCGTTTTAGAAAGGCAAATACCCACACCTGGACAGCAATGTTCAATATAACATAGTTCAACGAAAAAGAAAAACAGTACAATTAGCGAGTGACAAAGAGCAAGGTTAATTTTAATGAAACATAGATAATAGATTACCAGAATATTCAGAATGTTAAATGATTTTTTTTTCTTTTCGCCATTTTACCTAGTTACACGAAGCGAGCTCGATTTGAGTTTAATATTCATTCGCTACCGAGTGAAAAATTAGTTCTTAACATTGTTTTCAATGATTATGTATTTCTATTAACTATATCAGATGAAGAAAATGATGGTACTGAATTGTCGACTAATTCATTATTTAAACATATAATAAAAAATGATCTTGATCAGGCAAATGACGAACAGAAAACACCATTGTCATATGTCCGAGTACCTTTACAAAAGACAAGCATAAATCGTAAAGAAAAAGCCATTCAATTCAACTTTCTGTTAAAAGGAGTAAAATTAGGTTGCTATTGCACATATAATACTTAACAACTAATTATTGTATTAATTTACGAAAGTTTATCAATTCTAAAGAAGGCTTACATACTCATGAATTGTCTGCTAGCAATGAATTTATGATTGGAATATAGAAGATAATCGCTTGTGATCTTGAATATCGTGATTTACCATTTAAAGACACTATTCTATTATCTAAAGACTGTCAACCAATATTGTACATCGATAAATCTAGTGCAAAAGCTGGAAACTTTTTCTATCATTCATTAAATAAAATGCCATTTCTATTTTTGATATAAGTAATAATGATTTTATCTAAGAACGAAAGTAATATTGATAATAATGATCAAAGAGTATATTGTTAAAATTTGTCAGTATTTTAAAATTTTTTTGTTGTTGTTGTTTTTGATAGCTTATGAATGTGAAGATGATGATTGATTGAAGTCACACTGCTTTTTAGTAAAAACAAAAACCACAATATTGGCAAATACATTATGGTGAACATCGAATCAGTATCTATAAAGGCTTCTTCATTGACAAATATTATTTCTGGTTTCAAGTGAGCTGACAAATACTAATGTGTATACGGTCATTTAACTGCTGCTACTTCATTTTAAAACAAGAAAAGGTCAATAATAGATTAAAAGTATACATACATCAGTGGTTCCAGATCTTCTTATTTTGTTAGAATGACTCCTACCACAATACGTCAAAATTGAGATGCTTTAAAGCTCGAAAATACTACATTTATTTGATATTGATATTAATGATTATAAGCAGGAATTTTAGAAATGGACATTACCAACAAAATAGACAGTGAGCAATGATGGAACTAATGATATGGTCGATAATTTGAATTTTATTCCATGTTACAATCAATGCACTTTCCAGATTTCAGTTCAAGATCGACTTGATATTGAAGCACTCAAAGATCGACTCAAGTATCGAGTAAATAATGATCAGCAACGGTATTGTTATGTAGCTGATAAAGGTGAAAAATATTCTGTCGACTGAAGAAAGGATCATTTAAAATAAAATGCGTTTCTTTGTGTGTTTGTCATAGATGTGATATAACCAAACATGTGAAAACGGAAATTAGACGTCATAATACCCATGGAGCATCCAATCGAGATGTACTCATTTTTAGATCCTGAACATTAGTGTAATTATCCTTAGCGTAAAGACTTTGATATAACTATATGTAAAAAGTTGAGAAATTTGAGTTGTTTTGGTATAATGACTTTTCGGATAATGACTTTCATATGATAGGATATAATTATGAATTTTTTCTTCGGAACTGTTTCGGTTTCCTTATAAGGAATGCACGAAAGAAGTCGTTACCCTAAAAGTCATTACACCAAAAACAACTCAAATTCCTCAACTTTTGACATATACTTATATCAAAGTCATTACTGTAAACGTCATTACACCGAATGGGCTGTCATTCCTGAATACTTAGTAAGGGTAAATGAAGAAAAAGGTGTTGCCGGGTGTGACGGGACTATGAAATCACTCGATTTAGATTGACTTGTATACCGACACTCAGTTTTGATGTTGTGAAAATAAGAAGCTGTGGAAAAAATGCAATTATAATTGAAGTATCGTCTTTTATAAACGGAGAGGAGCAGAACTAGTAAGGCTTCAATTTCAATAATATAAAATAGTGTTCTCTCAAAACTATTGATGGTTCTCATAGCGTTATATACGAACAATTCGTGTGTGCAATGATAATAACATTGAAACATGCAGAGTAAAACATTGTTAAGCAGTTTTTACTTTATTAAGTGAGAATTGATAACCAAGCGTGAGATGGTCAATAATGAAATTCGATTTTTGTCATTGTAGTGCATGTGAAATTTTAGTGACGCAAGTGTGATTTTTCCCAAGTAGAATTTATTAATTTTGTCTCATTAAAAACCCTATGAGGAAAACGCTTTATGCCATGAGAGTCAGCTAGTCGAGCTGTACAAACTGGTATACATCTGATTCAAAACAGTGCATCGCGCTTAGATGCCTTTATTTGTCAGCCGAAGTTAGCTCTACAAAACAAGATAGCTTTCGTCGACATCTGAAACTTTGAATTGAGTACGATCAGACTCGACTCTCATGCAGCTACTTTTAAACGTATTTTTCTACATCCCGTATGCCATTGCTCCTTAGAGACAAAGAAAAAAGGCAAATAATAAAAAAACATTATTCAATTGTTTATTTGCCTTTTAATATAATAAATTGAGAAACCGTATATTACAAAATGCTTTTTCTTTTGATCTCTAACTTCAAACTGAAAAATTTAATGACATCCCATTAATGCACTTTTTGACAAGCTTCTTGAAGCAAACACTCAATTGTGCGTATAAAAAGAAGAGGAAAAATGCTATAATTTATAATGAAAAACGTTCAATCTCAGTTGACTGCATCATATTATTTCAGCATTCAAAGAAAACGAAAGTCATACTGAGAAAAAATCGACAATTGCATACTAACAAAATGAGAAGTGATTTGTATCTTTCTCTATTTGTTCTTTGCACACTGTATGAAATGATTTACGGGGCGCATTTCCGTGGTGGCATTATTTCATGGTAAGTGTATTTATTTAACGTTTGATCTATAACCCGATATCGTATGTCCTACTATTTATGTGTTTCTTCTTAGGCGTCCCTTAAACACTACACCATCGGGTAGCTATGCCGAAATTCTTATACATCAAAGGTATTTTTGGAATCGACAATGGGGTAGTTTTACTCCACCTTATTGTTCTGAATCAACTGTTGCTGCTCAAACATTGATTCCTGTCAATTCATACATGGTATGTTTACAAAATTGTTCAAGTTCTAACTATGCTTCGCTTTCAACTGAGATGACAAGTACAGATTGCGATGCAAACTCGCTAATTGAATCATGGGCCGGTGAACGCTACGATACTTTGGTGTTGCCTTTGACAACGTCAATTACGATTGGCTTTGTCTCGAGTGCATGGTTTAACTCACTCTATATTGGCGGCGGTGGAGATTGGTCAATTGTTAATCGATTAAATTTAGGTTTGAGACCCGATGGCTACATTAATACAAGTCCTGTTACAAATACATTACCAGTAGTTTTTGTTCCTGTGAATACATATACAGTGCACGTTGTGCAAATGGCAGATAACGATGCTACCGACATATTGGAATGTCGTTGGTCCAATTCAGCATCTGCTACGAACTATAACCGTAACGATGAATGTGGCGGCGTCTGCAGTGGGCTGCCATCTTCAACTGTGCTCTTTCAATCTAATTGTACATTAGTTTTTACCTTACCAACAACTGATCTTTATTACGCTTGTGCACTTCAGATTGAAGATTACTATGATTCTTCTTCCACATCTCCATTGAGTTCGGTTCCACTACAATTCTTGTTCTATGCATACACGCCTTCATCAAGCGCTTGTGCCACTCGTCCAGCAATCATTGGTGAACGTCCAAATAGAGGTATGAGTGTGAACTCTAGTTTAATTTAAATTCAATCATCTAATAATGTTTTTCTTGTATTTCTTCCATTTTTTTAAGCATGCATTGGCGTTCCAATAGGTAAGTGCAGTTGATAATCTTCTCTATTCTCTCATATCTAACAGCTATCTTTTAGGTGTTCAGTTGACTGAAACTGTAATTGCACAGACATACTGTACTGGTGAAAGTATTGTTGACTTTGTCACTAGCTCACCTATTGGAATGACACATAGTACGATTGCTAATCCGAGTACTGGTAAGCAGTTTTCAGTTTTTCAGCTAGAATAAATGACATTTCCCTGTTTGAAATTTAATGTCGTAGATCTATGGACAATGACATTGACTTGGACACCTAATGCAACACAATCTGGTCCTCAAGGCTTCTGTGCTGGTGCAATTGACAATCATAATCTGCAGTCAGACCCATGGTGTATCACATATCTAGTAGGCTATACATCACCGAATATCATTCGTCCTACGGTTGTACAAGGATCAGCAAGTCCAGTTGGTACTGTCTTTGCAAACCAATCGATATTTTCAATAATGGGTATGTATTTTTTGAAAACATAGCTAACCTCTGTTTTGAACTGTATTTGTTGCTCTCTATTTTCTACTGTACCTACAAAGCTACAAGTACCGTTGGTCGTCCAAGTCGTAATGGAACAAACGTCTGTTTTAATAATGCAGCTACAAATACCTCAGTCATATGTTATGACGCTGGATATGCTACGAATATATTTTATAATGAATATACAGTCACGATAATTACAAATGTAACATGGAGTTATGGTCATACGTATTATGTAACAATGGATAGTGGATTTGCTAGTGGGAATGTATTCTGTCGTAAGTCTCTTGGTGTTGGTCTTTGGAAACGAACGATTAAATTTTTTATCATGGTCTTTGTAACTTGACAGATGCTGAATCAGCACCCATCACCGATACAACATTTTGGCAGTTCAATATCTGGAACCCAGCAGTTTCGAGTACAACTACAACTACTACAACAGCACCTACAACACACACAGTGACAACGAGAAATGTCTCGGTTACAACTGTAAATACACTAGTGAGTTTTGAGTGATAGATATTGTTTTGGCTTGTAAACTATCTATAGTGAACACTATTTTTCATTATTACAGCTTACTACAACTGGCATACTTGCCACAACTACGAACATATTGAACACTACTAGTACGACAACTACCACTACTACAAGCCTGACAACTAGTAAGAGACTACTTGATCTATTTTGTCTTATTTCAGCATGTATCTCTCTGTACACAGGTACTACAACTGTTATTGCTATCACTACAACTCAGTTGGTCACCGATATGCCAGTTATGACCCCAAAGGATCTGGTAAGTTTTATTCGCTCTAAGTATTCACTTTTTCTCAATATTCTTTTTTATTCCTCGTCTTCTAGGAAGAAGCCTGTAAACAACATATTGCTATTTTCACAGTTTTCCAGTACATTGCTATACTGCCCTTCTATATTGCTGGAATATACATGTTATATACAAAAATGAACAACATGTTCAATCCAAATATGATAGCAACCAAAACGAGATACAAGGAACGATTGAAGCACTTAGCTGTAGAAGAACAATCAAGGCAATTAAAGCAATAGCAATTAGCTCGAAAAGAACAATGACAACCAACCGTAGTTGAATCGGCATTTGTTTCACGCTAGTGTGTCACACAAGGACACATATGAAACGAAAAAATGCTTACATAAACTAAAATTATAAACTGTTCTGTCTCATACTCAAATTGCATACACTACATTGATTTCTGCTCTTCTATTCTTAGTATAGGAGTCGTTGGCATTGTTTAGATGTGATATTGGAATGTTCTTTTTCGTTTCGTTGTAAAAATTTTCTAACTCTCTTGCTTTTAAACTATTATCTACTTGCGAGAAAACATCCTTAGGTGTCTAACTGGAATCTCGTTCATTCGTGCATCTATCGATGGAGGATGTTGTGGCAGTAAAAAGTTAAAAATTTCCATCGATGATTGGTCCTGTCTGAGTTAGAGGCTTTTTTCTTGTTTTCCAAATGAAAAATAAAAGAAATAGGAATATTCAGGATCCCATACAGAAAAGCCGCAGAAGGCGGAAATTTGCTTTGGAGTTAGTGATATGAATCGGTTTCAGTGTGTGGAATGTGATCGAGGGTGTGCTTTCAAATCAATCTTTTAGAAACTAAACAACTATGCGGTGACAATGTCGAAGCTCGCTTAAGGACTCATCGTCAAGTATGTTCAGAATCTATAATTGCATATCGCTCAATATGGAAATTATATTAAAGTAAATAAACGTCAAATAATTAACTTTCAATAACCTTGAATAATGTTGAAAGTGATTACCATTATCTCTAAATCTTTCTAAAAAGATGAACAAAGAACAGACATCATATGAATTCAAATGTAAACGATGTGCTTATAGATGAATTTTCAGGATGCGGCTGTGAGTTTAACTGTGACGATAGAAGAAGAGAACACTGACACCCACCGACTCACAATCATTCACACCCGCAAGATTAAAGTTTCAAAAATACTTATTCGAAATATGTCTGAAAGCATTATGAATTTTAATTTTTTCGAACATATAAGATTAATCTTACAAGGGTAACCCCACCAACTGATTAAAAGCTTTAAGGCTCATGTTTACGCCATAAGTAGTGCTTAGTGAGACTAGATCAGTCCTAAAAGGATTTCCTTGAATGGGCCTATTTGACTAAGATATGAACATTTCAAGTTTAGGATCGAAAATGTAGATAGATTGCCGGTTGTGCATGAATTACAATACTAACATATATCAAGACAGAATTTACTGTTGAAACGCTTATCGATAAATCGTGAAGCTGTTGAAAGAATTATGCTGTGACGTTTATTTGATGATCTAGCTGTTACTTAAAGGAAGCACCAAGATTGCAGCAAAAAGTCATACGAACGATCGCTTTTCATCACGTGTAGTGGGTGTCGAAAAGACCTATGTTTTGATCATTTTGTCGTTAGTTATTACATTCACTAAACTATTATGTATAAAAAAACTAACAACTCGTGTTTCAGTTGTTCTAACGATTTCGTTGTCTGTTCTAGTTTTTCCATCCATTTCACCAGCGAATAAAAGAGTTTTATTCATGTCTACACCGCTCTCATGATGATTTATGGAAAATGCGTAAAAGACTTCAATCTATAAGTATTTTGAAAAATAGATTTTTCCTTTGACACATGTTAGTATTATAATTCATGCACAACCGGCAATCTATCTACATTTTCAATCCTAAACTTGAAATATTCATATCTTAGCCAAATAGGCCCATTCAAGGAGATCATTTTAGGATTCATCTAGTCTCACTAAGCGCTACTTATGGCGTAAACATGAGCCTTAAAGCTTTTAATCAGTTGATGAGGTTTCCTCGTTAGTAAATAATAAATCATTTGTATTATAAGAAACTAAGAAAGTCGATATATTTCAGAATAAAAAATTAGAAGACTTCATTGCAAACTGTAGTAAGTAGAAGTTTTGATGGAGAAATTAATGTTTGTTCTGTGCATAAGATGCTTTTGATTTATTGACAACGCTAAGTTTTATTCATTCAACATTTTTCATCGATGAAGGATTGCCATAATGACTAGATAACGTTCTTTTTGAATGAAAGAAATGATTATCTCAACTCCATTATAGCTAGACAAGATATGATTCAAACAAAGTTTTTATTTCAAAATTCCAATTTTAGTAGTACGTTTGAAATAGATACCTTAATCAGCTTCAAACAACGCTTATAGATCTGTTCGATCGATGCTGGATTCTATCATTTAATACCAATAAGAAGTTTTAACTAAATTGATGCAACAAAAGAGCAAACTAGAGATATTTTATATGTACTGTCCAGGAACTACTATCAGCTGCAAATACAATTTAAATAAATTCAAATTTTTTAATTAAAGCAATATATTTCATATAAGTTAATTGACATTTCAAACTGCAGCAAAGTATGATTATAATACATAAGGTATTGAGAACTATTAATAATGTTAATTAAAAAGATTTATTTAATGTTGAAGTGAATGAGTTTCAATACTTTTCTAAAACGGAATACATTGTTTAATTTTAGAAAATGGAAGATTATTCCAACATTTTATTTTGCGATCATTACGTACAGAAATATATTGGAAGAAATTTAGCAAATATTATCAACATTTTTCTCACTACTGTACTGTTAATTGCGAATAATTATTGAAAATTTCAACTGATGCCGAGCCAGCGTTGGTTCTGAACAATAAGAAGCTATGTTCTTATTAAGAATCAATAAAATCTAATGAAAGTCAATATTTTCAAATATGTAATTAAGATCATATATTGAGTAAACATATGGAGAGACCGTCGGTGTGAACATTCTTTTCACTAACAGTCGTACTCTCATACTCACACTCACATCTATATCCTCTGCCACATATTTTTCCACAGATCAACAATTATACTTCATATATTTCGATGTTTATTGTCAAAGAATCATTGTTCATATATGTAATAATTTCGAAATCAAAAGTATAATGAAACTGAAATACATCCATGCGGTACATTTCATTGCTGTCGACCGTGTAGTTGATATCAAAACTGTACAACTAGATACGGCAACTGTTGTTGATTTCGTTGTTGTAATTGATGGCAAAGGTGTACTTGTTGACGTATTACTTACTGTTGAACAACTTGAGTACAACATTATGTCATCAAGACCGATATCACCCAAAAAAGATCTATTTTTTGTATGACAGATAAAAAAGCGTGTGATAAACGAGATAAACTCACTTTCCGACAATGCCTTCGAAGACAATTTGAACTATGCTACTTTGAATGCTCGGTATTGAATATTGTCCTTTCGACCACACATCACCTAAAGAATTTTGATTGCATTTTTATATGTTGGATACGAGAGAAAAGCAAAAAAACCTTGATTCCCTGATCGTGTCCAAACGGGTTCTCCACGTTCACCATCAATTTGGATGTAAACATTGAGAGTATCAACATCTTCACCATACATATGATACCTAGACGCATAAATGGTGATTCAAATGGGTGACCTAGTGTTTCTTTACGTGAAACTTAATAGTGCTGTACAAAATAACCTACTTGTAGCCAGAGAACATTAGAAAGACGGATGCCTTCCAATATGAAAATCGCTTTCGAGTTCGCACTCTCTGCATAATGCAGATCACAGTGAGATATTCCACATTCTAAATGAATGAGGCCGCTTCATTCTTTTTCATAGATTTGTATCCGTTTTATTTGAGTTTAAGGGCATCTTGGAATGAATTATAAAGCAGAACGGTACAATATTGGTATCCATTGTGAAGTATAGATGAAATAACGTGCTTCTATCTTAGGATTTTGTTTTTGCAACAAATGTGTTAGTTGTTAACTAACTTCTGGGGAAAAGTTACGTGCCATCTATAGATGAACACACACAAACCTTGTTTCTTCAGTTGGAAAAGAAATTTTTCGATATAATAATCAATGTTTCTCTAGTAAAATGGCTCTTGAAAATGTTTCTCGCACATTCGCAAAACATACCAGAATTCTAAACAAGCGAGCCCACGAATAGGCTCTGATATGATACGGCATGTATTATTGGATTGTTGCGGGAAACTGGTTTCCATATAGATATACCAACCATCGCTTGTACCAAGAGTATGGTCTAAGTAAAGATTGTAAAAAAGAATTCTACAAAGAATCAAGTTCTAACTAACCGACACTCGGACCGGTCTCGTCGGACAGTGTTGAACCCTGTATCAATTCCCATTGAAAGTCAGCAGTTACATCGTGCATCCATGATGGACAGAGAATACCTTGTTCGAAGTTACAATTAAATCTATTGGACAATATAGTTGATGCCAATCTAGAAAGAAA